CACCCCCACCCCAACCTAACCCCATAAACAAGTCTTCTCTTTATTTAATTGTTTTATGATTTATGGAGATATTGAGTGATTTGAAAATAGATAATTATATTTAGACAACTAGAGAATAAAAATCAATGTCATTTTCAATAAACACTATAAAATTTTATCATTACAATTTTTTTTAATAAAATTATAATTATAAAATTTTGATGGATTAGTCCTTAAACTATTTTTTAATAAAAAACCATTAAATTCTTATTTTAAAAATTTATGAACTATTTTTTCAATAAAAAGAATCATTAAATTTTCTCTTTTTAAATGAAAAAACCATTTAAGTTTTTCAGTTTAATTGATTAAGTCCGTGAATATTTTGTTAATAAATAAACTATCACACTTTTGAAATTTGGTTACTTGTATCATTTTAACCCAAAAAAGTTACATTAACTGATGAATAAGAGTTCGATGGTTTATTTATTTCTTTTAAAAAAAATAGGGTATTAATCATTTAAAATGTGAAAGTTTAATGGTTTTTTTATTTTAAAAAAATAGTTCAGTGACTTACTTATTTAAAATAAGAAAAGTTTAATGGTTTTTTTTATTCTAAAAAATTGTTTAGAGACTAAACCATTCAAAATAAGAAGTTTATTAGGTTTTTTTTAATACTTTTCCCTACTTCTAAATTTCTAATGCATCTAAACTTGATTTATCTTATATTTAAAATGGTTTGTACTTGTAAAAATTTAAACAAAAGCATAAAAGAACCTAGAGATGGCCAAAATGGTCCGAGCCGGGCCTGGCCTGGCCTGGCCGGGACCAACTTAGGATCCCGGTAAGAACCGGTTATGAACTGATGGTCCAAGACCCGTTACTTTTCTTTATGAAAATTCAAAGTCCGATTGGGACTGGAACTGGAAACACTTACAATGGGATCGGTTACCAGAGGAAAATCTCAAACTGGGACCGATTCAAGCCCATGTCGACCAGAGATTGATTTTTGGGCATCTCTAAAAGAATCAAACAAATTGCAAATTGAAATTAATTTAATCAGTTAATACAATCATTAATAAAACATGCCACCTATTTCACAATTTTCTATGTTTTCTTGATTAAAAAAATATAGTTAATAATAATAATAATAATAATAATAATAATAATAAGATAAACATAAAAATACAATAGGAACATGTGAATTAAATGTGGCATTGAATCTTTCAATGTCTTCCCATCACTAGATTTCAACACATCATGACGTGGATAATCTATACTATCTTATTAAGCAAATTAATCAAAAGTTTTAAAGTCTTAAAATTCTAAATGATCAAGATACATTTTTCATTTTTTCACCACTTCCTCTCCTCACATACACTCACCCCCTCACATACATTCACCTCTCACATTCAATGGATTTTTTTAAAAATTATAATTTTAAATTTACATTTTATATTCCTATAATTAGTTAATTAATTACTTTACGTCTTTTACTTTTAAATTTTTCATTTTAAACATTTATCAAATTAACATACATAATCGTATATCAAATAAAACATGTTTAAAAAATACATTTTTAATTTAACAAGTTACACCATTATAATCGTCTCGTTAATACCTTCGAAATGAGTCCAATATTGAATAGTTTTTGACTTAATTATATTATTATATATTATATATACTGTGAAAAAATATTTTTAATGTTTACAATTTATACTTTTATAGTTATTTATTTATATATATGCTATACATTTTGGGATTAGGTTGTCCAAATTGCACTGTATAATATGTTTTTGGGATTTTTTTGAAATATATATATACATGTATTAATTCAACCTTAATATGAGCTTCTGGACAAGAAAGAGGGTAAACAGTTGAAATTTCATTCTAAAACTCATTTTTTTTTGTCTTTTCATGGCTTATGATCTGTCAAATTTGTAGTTTTCTTTATTGGTTTTGAGTGTTTATCTTAAAACTCAAGTGTTTTGGTTCTTTGCTCTTGGTGTAAATCGAACACATTTGTGGAGTCGTTTAAATATGTTGGATTTTAAATATATTGGATTTTAAACTGTCATACAATTTTTTTCATCGATAGTCTGTAATTGGAACCAGAACTCTTATTTATTCAAATTGTATTAATATGTAAAGACCAAGTGTAACATATATCATCGTTAAATCTTGTCTTATAAAACCAGTGAAACTTCAAAATCGTTAAAATGCATGTCTCCCGCCGCATTGCGCGGGTACACAACTAGTAATATATTAAAGATAAAAACCCCTACCGGAATTTAACATTGCTATTATTCGGGCGGGCTTCATTCATATCATTAACGACAAAGTTGTTATAATCACTGTTAATAGCAGTTATTGAAAACGGGGGCATGCTATTAAAATAGACATTATAAATTAGATTACATGCATGTCTAGCCATTAAATAAGCCGGGACGTTCACAAGACGGTTGATCCAATGAACGGATATGTAATCTTTCGAATTTCGAATGCGTCTAATATCCTTGATGATATTGTCAAATTCCGAGTTGTCGACGTTCGTGGCATAGATCGCTTCCACAAGAACTTGACGTCGGTTAAGCCTCATAGGAAAAATGTAGTGAAAATTTTCATCTACATCAGGTTTAAATCCAGATGCTGGGAAAGCTCTTGTGGGCTGTGGTCATGTAGGTTTACGTGCGATGACTTCAGGCCATTTATGATTGCTCGGAGGATTAACCGTTGCGCACATAAGTTGGCTCGAAAACCAATAGTTACCAGAAAAATAGAGGGACCTTGATTACGACCTTATGAATGTATTTAGTTCGAAAAATGGTAACCGAATTGTACTGAAAATCGATGAAAAAACGAAAGTTTAACCACCGAACCTATTTCTCTTACTAAACTTGTTTATCAACACTTAATTTCAACCATCTCCAACAAAATTTTCAATTTTTTTTAATATGACAAATAAAATTTAAAATCTCTAAAAAAAATTACATTCAACTTTAACAGCTATTTAATTTTAAAAATTATAACATTAATTATATTGTTAAAATATTTTATACATTTAATAAAATATTATTTATATTTTCTAAACATTTAACTTCGAAGTTTTCTTATTGGTAGGTATATAATAAAGGAAGAAGTGGGGATGGAAGTTATAGTGATAAACGTAAGAACGGTTTTGGACCCTTAATTACTTTTAATCTTACCACTGTCTATGAATTGAGCTTATCACAGGAATTGATCTGGTATATCTCGGTGTACCGTATTAGTGTTCATCTTCAGTTATAATTTATAAGGGTGAAGACCTCTTATTACCTTGTCACCGTAACTTTTATTATCACCAAAATCTGACCATATAATAAAAAGCAATATATTTCTCTGTTATGGTAATTGCTTATTGAAATTTTTTCGAATTTAAAAAATTTCACTCTCTCTTACTTTTTTTATTCTTAAAAATTCTTTTAAGAAATATATTAAAACAATAAAGTTTAGGCATGGAAATGACTCCCGAATCGTCGGGGAACCCGTTCCATCAGCCCCGATCGGGGACGAGGATCCCCCGCTAAAACAGGGTTGGGGACGGGGACGGGGACGGAGACGAGGATTCCCGTTTGTCTCAAACCGGGGACGGGGACGGGTATCGTACTCCACGTCCTCCGCCGTACCCGTTATATAGATTAATTAATAAATTATATATACATATATATATATTATTTATATCAACTAAAGCGTTAATTCATAATTTTCCTACTTTCTCACTAGGTTTATAATTTAAAATTGTCATTTTTTGGATCTTAATATGTAATATTTTGGATGTCAAGTCAAAATAGAATTACTCGATAAGTTTTATATATTATTCGATATGGTTTTATATTACTCAATATCTTTTAATACAAGCGACTTTAAGTTTTTTTGGATTAAATTGATTTTCTTTTGGTTTTAGATTATTAGTTCTTATATGATGTTGTGGGTTTTTTTAATATTAAATTAAATTCATTTTGGTTTTAGGTTTATTAAAAATGTTTGAGATTTAAACATGTATGATCTGGCACAAATTTAATTTAAAATTACATAAACAGAAAAAAAATCTCCATTTCCCCGTTGGAATCCTCATTCTCCATTAGGGTGCGTATGGTACGCAGACATGACAGGACAGGACATGTGTTCAACGTTTGGTAAGACATGACAGGATAGGACAGAACAGGACCGAACCGGTTAAAATGACCAATTTACCCCTAGTGAAATTTCAAGTACATAACTACATATCAGACGGAACAATAGGCAAAATCGAGTGTGTTGAGAAACAGTAGGCAAAATAGTAGGCAAAATCCAAACAGTAGGCAAAATCGATTTATCAATCGAAACAGTAGGCAAAATCCAAACAGTAGGCAAAATCGATTATCGATGGAGATGGAGGAGAAGGTAGAAGCTGTGACGAAATCGATGCTATGAAGAAGACGACGAAACAATAGGCAAAATCCAAACACCTGGTTCATGATTCAACTAAAAATACAAAATCAATAAAAAAATCATTTCGAATTTCATCAAAAACAACGAGCTCCAGTTCGTGAAATCCAAATAGAACACATAGAAAATCGAGAGAAATTGACCGTACCTTTGTTCTTGGATGCCGTGAAAATCGATGGAGATGGAGGTCTCCAGTGAAGAAATCGATGGAGATGGAGGTGGACTGTGAAGAAATCGATGGAGATGGAGATCGATCGAGATGAAGGTCTCCTGTGAAGAGATCGATGGAGATGAAGTCTCCTGTGAAGAAATTGATGGAGATCGATGGAGATGGAGGTGGACTGTGAAATCGATGGAGATGGAGNATCGATGGAGATGGAGGTGGACTGTGAAATCGATGGAGATGGAGATCGATGAAGATGGAGGTGGACTGTGAAGAAATCGATGGAGATGGAGATCGATCGAGATGAAGGTCTTCTGTGAAGAGATCGATGGAGATGAAGGTCTCCTGTGAAGAAATCGATGGAGATGGAGATCGATGGAGATGAAGGTGGACTGTGAAATCGATGGAGATGGGGATCGATGGAGATGGAGGTGGACTGTGAAATCGATGGAGATGGGGATCGATGGAGATGGAGGTGGACTGTGAAATCGATGGAGATGGGGATCGATAGATGGAGGTGGACTATGAAATCGATGGAGATGGAGAAGAAGACGACGAAGATGGAGATGGAGATCGATGGGTATATTTGTCAAATATGTCTTGTTCCACTTAGTTCCAGGGAGGTAAGGGTGAACAGGCTTGTCCCATACGTGTTCCACTTAGTTTCATTTAGTTCCACTTAGAAACACACCAAACATGGAACAATTGTATCATGTTTTGTCATGTCCCCTGTTACACTTACGCACCCTTAAGGATGGAAATGATGATGTGATTATATGCCCCCAAAAGGGATGAGAATAAAAATAAGTAATCAGCCTAATAAAGTTATCTAAAATGCTTAATCTCTATTTTCATGATGGCGCCACCAACAACGCCACTACCGAATTTCTATGTAAAATGGGAAAATAAGTCCCTCAAGTTTGAGGGATCTACCAATACGACCTCAAACTTTTAGATATGACATTTGAACCGTCGGTTATATAATTATAAATTTTGCACGTATTTTTATGATTTATCGTTGTAAGTAGTAATCTCAACACTATATAAATGATTAATTTATATTAAATAGTTTTTCTATGAGAACAAGTTGTATCTTTGTTTTTCGTACACTTCACGTAAACTGGGAGGTCTTCATAAAAACAAATATATTAATCTTTGACAAATAATGCCCACTAAAATTAAAGGGCAAATGGTATAAGATAACCATCATATCAACCATGTCGATGTCGTGTGAGTAAGAGTCACATGACAAGGACCGTCCACGAAAGGAAGTTGAAATTTGACACAAAATGAGGATGTTTAGACGGACTTGCAGTTGGACCATGTTAGACTTAGAGCAAAGTACTATGATCCGCAACGTGAAGCACTCGACCCGAGCTGTGTAAACCAACTTGTCCCATGTACAGTTCAAAGGGCGAGCCACAACCTAGTTAAAGGCCTTGATAGCTATAAAACCCTCAACAAGTTTTGGTTATTTAAACAAACCCAACTAGGACTAAGATCTTTAAAACATTCACAAACAATTATTAAAGATTACTCTAAAAACTAGGCATAAAAACATATATCGGTTTGTAACCAAATAGACAGCTTAATCCAATCATAACTTGTTACAGTCGATTATACAGTACGTATTAGAACAATGGCAAAGCTTCAATCCAGTAACCAACAAATAGCACAATAAGCAGGTAAATTATCACAGTAGCAATACTGCACAAATTTAGATGTTATATTATATGATGTTAAATCCCAAAGTTGAAGCCTTGATACCCAAAATCAAGAACTTAATGCTGCTAGCTTCTGAGACAGAACACTGCTCCCCTCATCTGCTTGCTCCAATGTCTCCTGCCAAAATTGCATTTTTGTCAAAAGGATTATAAACTCTAAAAAAAGGTATATTGTTGCAGCAGTTGTTTTGGAACCGGTAAATACAACGACGTTTGTTTTAGTTCCTAATATATTTTTTTTCCTTCTATCAACAAAACGACGTTTCAAAATCTTCTATTTTATACCCCATTTTGACCCGGTTGTACTTTGGATGATCTTGTACATTTGATCACGTGGATGTCAGGTCGTCAATCAAGATAGTTTTTTTTACAGATAACCTGCTGATCCATCGTTAATATAACTTGTCATCCACTTCATTGTTGCAAGATCAATAATCTACGGGTTAAAAATAGGTACAAAATAGGAAATTTTAAAACTTTGTTACAAGAAAATGGATTATTGGTTAAACTAAATAGGAACTAAAGCAAATCTTGTTGCATTTTGATATTTTGGAAGGGATGCAATTCGTTAAACAAAGGTATAGAATACTTACCTTGCAACTCCTGTTGCTGGCTCCTACATATTTGGGTGTACTAATGGCTGGATTTTTTGGGATAATATTAGAATCTTTTTTAAGATTTTTGGATTCATTACACCTGTCTGATCTTGGTGGGCTTTGAAGAGTGGTAGCAATGGCAGCATTTGTACGCCTTTCAAAGTCGATGATTTCATCAACAGCTTCTTCTATGGGTACACAGATCCGCTCTCTTTGAAAAAAGAGCACAATGATTATGACAATTATACCATAATAACAGCGTCTCCACCGTCTCCAAAATACAGAAAAATGAGATTTCTAAGTTTCTATGTTTTTTTTTTTGCTTCAACAGCTTCTCAAAATAGAGAAAGCCGGAGAAATGGAAAATTTCTACAAATTTGGAGAACCCTCTATAGTTAATGGAGGACAAGAAAGAATTGACTTTTTACTATTCCAAGAAAGAACTCCACAACTTGCCCGAAAAAACTGAATTTTTTTAATAATATAATTAATGTTGGAATCTCTAAAATGGAGAAATGTTGGAGGCGTTTGGTATGTGACTGGATTGGCGAGAGTGAGTTGGGAGGATGATAATTTTCTGGAAGGTTTTAGGGTTCAAATTTGACACGGATAGTTTAGAAATTTATCCATTTTTCTCATCTTTCTAATCTTTCTTACACTTATTTGGTGGGACATAAAAATGCATTCTTCTCACACTAAGGTCTTGTCCTGTCCGGGTCTATTTTCGTGCCAAACATGAGACAAAGGTTTTATACTATTGTCTCGTCCTCTCCCGCAAACCAAACGCACCCTTGGAGTTGAATATAATTGTATTTGGAGAAATTATGGAGAAATAGTTGGAGATGCTCAAAGTACTTTATACCCACAAAGAACTTCACTTTTCAACAAGCCGGGGTTAGGGTTTTTCTTCTTTTTTTTTTTTGGCAAGGGGGAGGAAGCTGACAGATTGTGTTAAAAACTTACCTTGGCAACGAAGTGTATTGCCTTCGAAGTGGAGAGTTTCTTCCTTCCTTGCCTTCCTGCTCCTCAAGATCAGCAAACTGCTGCTTAAACCGTTCTATTCCACTGAAGTAAGATAAGGAAAGGCAGATAACTGATTAGTGTCCGACTTTTATTTGAGGGGACACTTCTAAGTAACTGATTTTAACAGAAATACGTTGAATGCTTGCAATTGAGATGACTTCATTAATATAAGCATGTTTCAAGCTACTACATGTTACATCCATGCTCATATGCTTCTTCATTTGTAAGTTTCAATATGGAGTTCGGCTGATAGGGTTGGGTTATGGCAAGAACAACTGTTTTGGTGAGAACGGTAAGAACACCGGACCTTCATCAACTTACATCCAGCTGCATTTGCAAACCTTCATCTATATTCCTTTACCTACACATGCCTATTTGTATCACGATTGAAACTTTAACAAATTCATGAATGTGAAGGTGACTGAAGCTTGTGAGAATAGGTGAAGGTGATGAAAGTCTGAGTTTTTTGTGAGCCATCATATAAATAAAAACTCATCCAAAGGCTCATAAGTGTTCTCACAGGTTCTCACGGAACTCGTTTGTTCTCATATAATAACAACTCTCTGCTAACAGAAATCCATATTATGTAATCACTATCCCAAGTTCCCAACTATACCTCAAAAGCAATTTTCCCATGTGCTTATTTCCTACATCTATAAAAATTTGCAACACTTTTCTTGTTGCTATGTCTCATGAAGTTGTAAAATTTCCTTATTTGGGAAGTTTTAAAAAAAAGTCACATGTTTGTGCATTATCACCACTATGAACGACTTAATTGTATTCATTCCCATATTTTGTCTCTTAAAGGGTATTTTAGATATCTAACAGTAGTCCAACAATTTCCTCACAATTGACATCTCAATGAAAATTCTTTAGATCCTGACCTTGGATACATAAAGCTTATGTGTTCTTCGCCATGAAGGTACTCTTGCAGCATTTGGGGATGATACTCCAGGATCTGTGTGCTTGAAAAGACAATAAAACCATTAAGCAGTGCATGATAATTAAATTGACTGCAAAACCAATAAAGATCATAGAATGTGATCATATACCTCCCTATAAATCAGCTCTCTTACATCATTCTTTGTCAATCTCCGCCTTTCAAACTCAAATTCCAGTTTTGAAATCGGTTGTTTGGATGGCTCAGTTTCCAAATTTGCTAAACCATAAAAGTACGGATCAGACAAGGCCTGTAAATATAAAAGAACTCACAATATCAGGAAACAGCAACAACAATCTGAAGCTTTCAACAACTTTATTTACGACAAAAGAACAATGGTAGCATAAAGTTTTACTAAAGCTTATCTCTTCAGCAGATATTCTGTCTTTGGGATCAAATGCAAGCAATCTCTCAAGTAAACGGAGTGCCAGTGGATCAGCATTAGGGAATTTTTGTGAGAATGGAATAGGGGTTTTCTTGGTCATGCCATTTAAATATCTTCTGGCCTTATCATTCCGTATCTGCAGATGTTCAAAGGCCTGCTGTTATCCAAAAGCTAAAAATGAAATGAAGTTTTAAATCCAAGTATACAAAAGCAACAAACCCTTGCTATGATTTCAGCAGAAGGAGAACCAAGTAAATCGGTGACAAGATCCAATTGGTGCACAACATTCCTCCCAGGAAACAGAGGCTTCCCTGTTAGCATCTCCGCAAATATACATCCTATGCTCCAGATATCAATTGCAGGAGTATACTAAAACAATTCAAGTCATGGTTAATGAATAAGATGTTTCAGATATCAAAGGCTAACCAATATAGTGTGTGTGTATGTATGCTTACTTTCGAGAAGAAGGAGCCACAAAGTTCAGGAGCACGATACCATCTAGTAGCCACATAGTCCTGAAGGATTACAGTTATGAACATCAACAAGTTGTTAAAAGGTATGCTTCAATTAGATAAGAACAACTAAAGCATCAGTGTCCACATAAGAAGTTTTGAAGTTCAAAACACGTACAGTCCAAAAAATTGCTGACGGGGTATCATCAAATGATGCACGAGCTAGACCAAAATCACAGATTTTCAATTTGCAGTCTGCATTAGCAAGGATATTTTTGGGTTTCAGGTCGCGATGGAACACGTGTGCTGCAAAAAAGAAGATATAGTAAATAGAAGGTACGTAGTGGAATCAAGAAAGCAATATCACATGGAAAGAGGATCATCAGAAGAAGAACAAGAAAAAAAATCCAAATCAAACCTGTATGAATATATTTTAAAGCTCGAAGGAGTTGATACAAGAAAAATTGATGATGTTCAGGAGTGAGATCATCGTTAACCTTGATTACTTCATCAAGATCAGATTCCATCAACTCAAACACCACATATATATCTTTGAACTCTCTTCTACAAGGAGGAAGCATAATATGCTTTATTTCTACGATATCTGGGTGGCGAAGCAGTCGAAGAAGCTTGATTTCTCTAAGAATGCGGGTGGCATCAGAAACATGCTCGAAAACATCATTGATCTTTTTTATAGCAACCTTCTCCCCGGTGTGGGTATCAACTGCAGCTGCAACAACACCATAACTTCCCTTCCCTACAACTTCTTGAATTTCATAGAGACTTGCTTCACCATACTCGGTGAAAAATTCCTTGCCAAGCATGGTTATATTCTGCATTTTTATCAAGAATAATTCAGCAATTTAAAAACAACAATTCAAATTGATGTCCTATTTGCCATTTTGAATGAATGTTTTTCAAATGGTATCTTATCAGGTTGTGCATTGGAACAAAGACTATGCTTTGCAGTAGTCATATAGAAGCAGTATTTGCAGATGGCTGTTAAATAATGATGGAAAATTCTCATGGAGATCAAACTAGAACAAAATGTATGCATTAAGATGTTTAAAATTGTGAACTGATCTCTTTTAGGCTTTTATGCATTGAACAAAAGATGCAATGTCTTGGCATAGAGGCAGGCACTGCCATAAATCCATAATTACAAAATCAACTAGATGAACCTATGCTGAGAGGATCCTACATGAAAAGTATGAAATTTCTGATTGACCTCAAGTAAAGAGACATCAAAAGTAGTCTACAAATATCATATGAAAAGGTAAAGAGCATAACAGCAATACTTGAGGCACAGATGAACATATGACAAACAAAACTATACTCCTATGGAAAGAGTTGCTATATTCAGCGCAAGTAGGAGAACCTTTCCTATATAGAGCTAATGTCTGTTGCCATCTGGGTGGAGAATCTTTCTCTATATCTCAGAGAAGATTATAGCTGCCGAAGGTCGGATCATGGTAACAACTTACTACTTCAGCCAGAAAAACCGTTGTTTAAAAAAATATTGGGTACCAAAAATTAGATACATTCTGGGAAAATCAAACTTCCATCAAAGAGAAGCAAATCGTAAAAAGAGATCATCTCTCACTCTGAATCCTAAATATCCATAAATGAACTGGTTATCCTTCAATAGCTATAAAACATTACAAACTACAATGCAAAAATCAGATTCTTTTGAGACTAGGAAGCCACGCCCAATGAGGTAAAGCATCAATCCATTAATGCAACCCAGTGCTGGTGGTTCATTGGGCAATACACAAGTCTGGGTATGAACTCAAAACTTCTAGATAAGGGCAAAATTAATGGGCTTGCCAATACCATTCTCGACTTTTCTCTCCCTTAAATCATATTACCACTAATTCTATTATGAAAGGAATGTCGAAGTTTGAACAAGGCCAGAACCTTTTTGAGCATGAATAAGAATAACATGATGAAATTCTTATTCGTCAGAAGATCCACTAACAACTTGGCGAATACCAACACAGAAATGTCAAGTGCTCGGCTTTTGGAATCATAATACTGGGCTTTTCATGACAAACTAATTTTTGTTCTTGTAAAAATGCCATAAGAACATAGTTGCAAAACTGAGTGATTCTGGACATATTGATGTATATATGTAAAAAGAACTATCATACTTGACACTTCTATACAAAGTAGCTCAGTCTTGGAAGTACAGTGCGTTTTTTGCATTTTTGCAAGAATGATAGTATGTTTGAAACAAATGTCCAAGTAGTTGCTGTAAGAAAAGATCCTGAAGGTTGGATACCTTTTAATTTAGATGTAGGAAATTACGTAGTTGCAACTTCGCATTTATTGGATGCAGATGAGAGAGATTGGATTGAAAAGGCAAGCAATTAGTGGACAATAATATGAAACATTGAAGACAACAGAATCTTTCCACAACAAGAAAATTTCTTCTCATCACAATAGCCGTAAGTGAGAAATCAACTAGAGCTATATGCTCAATTGCTATTTCCTTTTACAATGTACAAAACACAAACTCTAGCACCCAGATGCATAACCGTCAAGCGGTGCTTCACACACACACACACATTCACGAATCAACAACTGAAATCAACTCCATGAAAATCGGAGATGTAGTAAAAAAGAAAAAAAAATCCTGTTTAAAGAGAAAAACCCAATCACCCAACTACCCAAGTAAGATCCATCAAAAGAAACTGTTAAAAGGCCAGGGGAAGCGCAAATTAACTTTTTTGCCCCAATTCATTGGACAAAAACCCTAGTGTGTCATCCAATGTCAAGATCTCTGAGCTACCGAAAGGAAGCGACAGCCAGTTTCACAAACCAACTGGGCAGTAAGATCTATCGAAATTTAAGAAGCCGGAAAAGGAAACAGGGATGAAACGAAAGAGAAGAAGAAGACAGTTAAAAACATACCTTGAAGCTGTGCTTAGCAAGCAATTCTTCTCCGAAGGTGGACAAACTGTGTTAAGGATTTACTCTCAAAACGCGTCTTCTTTTGCAGAGAACAACAGCTTACAAAGCTAAGAACAGAACAAACAGTATTACCCCCGAATATATACGGCTTCATTAATGATGGACCAGGGAAAATGGCACATTTGAAATTGTCCACTCAATCTATGTCAAACTATTATTTACAAAAAGTCAAATATAGTGAGAGAGAGAGAGAGAGAGGGGAATCAATATCTAATCCAAAATCCAACCGTCCAATCAAAATCCAACGGCAAATCTTCAATCTCGCACTGTGGTTCGTCAGCCTTACACGCGTAGTCCTTACATCCAGGGGGATATATTCTAAAATATTTACATACACCTTGCACGTTTCATAAAGTTTTCGTCAATTTTACGAGTAAAAAAATGAGAACCCGATGCAAGCATCATCTTAAATTGTGCGCCCTATCTTATCCCTACTGACACGCATACGTACTCATAGATATAGAGAGAGAGAAGAGTTTTGATCCCTGTTAATGGCGTCGGTGCGGATAACGACTACAATCAGATCCAAACCGGAGATAAGGCACAGATCATTACCAGCCGTTGTTTGATCCCTGTCATTAACATTATTTTAATTACCATTAATCATCGATAAGTACGAATTAGTTGACTAGGGACGGATTATTGTTTAATAATACCTAAACAGCTGAGATGTTGAGTCAATTGACGAACTCCGACGACGAAATCGCCGTTGCCGATTTCAACAACAGCCGGATCCGGTCATTTTCCACCACTGAGCTCTTTGTACTACTGGCGTGTTTGTATGCCGGAGATGGATGGAGATTCCGGCAATTACTTGGAGGTAGATCGGATTCAACCAAGTTGAAGGTGATGTTGGGTAAATTTGAAGGAATTGGTTTTCACAAATTGTTCAAGAATCTTGATCGAATCTGCAAAGGGGCCGTCCAATTATTACGATGTTAAAAATACAGACTATGATCGAATATCCAATTGTAATCGGATCGGATCCAAAGTTTCAACATCCAAATCGGATCGGTCTGTTCTTTGATGGCAATCCAATAACAAATAAAACCGATCCAATCTAGTGACCATCCAATTATCATCCTACTAATATCCAATTAATAACTATATGTAATTATTAACATTTTACGATATTTTTTTATTGGTATTTATACACATTGTTTTTAATAACTTATATATATATATATATATATATATATGAATAATTTGTTGAAATGGTGGATTTATTGATTATGTATCGGATAAAAAGATTAGACGAATTCAATCTGATCTAATGGATAACCAATAGTGACATTCAATTGATGGAACCGACCTGATCCAATCATCCATTGGATTTGGATCGGATCGGATGTCCAATGTTAATTGGATGGGATTGGATGACAAAATCCAGCATCCAACGGATGATTGTATCGAATCGAATCCACCTAAATCCATCGGATTTCAACCGATGAACATCCCTAGTTTGAGCGGTCTGTTGGTTCAGTCTGAAAAATAGCCAAAACGTCTAACCGGTCCAATCTGTGGTTTGAACGTTTTTTGAGTAGTTTGGACCGAAACGACCGTCAAAATACACATGCATTAATTACATTTAGGTTTCTTATTATACGCTCAACTTTTATAACCCAATTATAAGAAGAAAGCCGGTCTAAGTCATCAAATTTTCAGTTTCCATTTCTCATTCATCCACCTTCCTTAATTGGCAAATTTTTCGAAATCAATCGAAAATCAAATATCAAAATTCCAAGTCGTCTTCAACTTGCTCAATATTTTGTCTAAAATTCCAATTATTATTGGTTAATTTATTTTACGCTTTTCAACTTGTTTAATGTTTTTATAATTTTAGAAATAGATCGTTTATTTTATATTTCAGCATAATAATTTTTAATAATATCATATTGATAGAAATTTTATTTTGTAAATAGATGTTATATTTATTTAGTTTAAAACTCGTAATAAGCCTAAACCTAAATTGGTTAGAGTAGACTACCTTTTGTGGTCCAATATGGTCACTTGCTGCCAAACGTTTCTGTTTAGAAAAGTCCCTGAACCCACATTAGATGTTTGGTTTGTGGTTTCGAGGGTTAAATCATCCTAACCAGACTATGAACACCCTAATGATAGTCGTTGTGGCTCAAAGATTGTCTCTGATATCACATTAAACCATAGCACGCAATGATGGAGGTGTAGGGCTGCTAAAAAACCGGACCAACCCAACGCGAGATGACCCAACCTGAAGCAACTCAATGTCTAATCGAGTTGTAAAATCTTCAAACCGTAGGTATTGGATTGGGACTAAGTTATTATTCAACCTCAACCCGATGAACCTAATATCCTTTTATTTTTCGAATTGATATGATTGTTAAGTCCTTATTAATATGTACATTAGACAATTACACCATCAGATACCCTTTGCATATACATATATTTCTAATCTCTTCTTCATATCTATGTAACTCATTCGTATATATGTTCTGTAAATGTGAACATATATATGCAAATTGAGAAAGTAGTTAAATGTAATATACTAAAATTTAAAGAGTATGGATAAGCTTTAATGTTAGGAGGATGTTTTTGATGCATCAAAGTATCAACCCGACTAACTCATACGGTTTTGGTTGGATTGGGTTGCACTTTTTGTTTCAAATTGTGTTGAGTTGAGATTTTTCAAACTGTAAACATTAAGCTGGATTGTTCAAATGTCTTCAACAAGATCAATCCAACTCATGAACACACCCTAACCTCATGCATGGTTTTTGTAAGATGATATTTGTTTTTTCTTATATTTTAATGTTTTGCTTTTTGGTTTTTAGTATATAGTCTAATTTAAATTGTTTAATATTATTGATTTACTAAATAATATTAGGAAACACGTCTCTCTCTCTCTCTCTCTCTCTCTCTATATATATATATATATATATATATATACTAGTTGTATACCGGCACAATGTGACATAATGCAATATTCAAATAAACGTAAACAAAGATGAAAAATATGAACACGTTTTTACAAAATAAAACACATAGTCACTTACATCTTTTATACATATCGAAAACTCGTAAAAAAGAAAAAAAAATGTCTTACATATGAAACATGAAATCAGTATACAGACAAACAAGTCTCAATCATATACAAATCTAGTTGCATGAGCCCGGATTTAAATATGAAAAGATGAGCTTTAACTTTCATTCCCAAATGCAATGCAATTCTAAGGCTAAAAAGGTTAATGATTTGTTTGGTAGTTGCTGAATGGTTTTGTTCATAATAATTAAGCGGTCAAAATGATTAAAAGACACTAATCCTATAATGCAACATGAAATATAATTGTTTGTCTACGATGAAATTAGGACGCTGAATAGTTAAGAGGTGCTCAGGATGCAAAATCATTCAGAGGATTTTAAAACCATTAAAAGAAAGATTTTTTTTGTCAAACAAGATTCACTAAATTTTCAATTTTATTAAAAAAAGTATAATATTATAATGCTAGTTTTTAAAGATTTTTTTAAATAAATGTGGTATTTAAAGTGTATTGCAATACAAACTTACAAAAACCGTAATTACAAAAAACATGTATAACAATTAGTTCAAGGCTAGTTTTTGATGCATTAAGTATTGTTTATTGATGCATATTACTTAAAATTCAAGATAATTAAATCGAGATGTATCTCGCTGCATTGCCCGAGTAGCATTCTAGTTTTTACTAAAAGAGAACTAAGGAGGTAAATGAAAAGACAAAATTATCGTCTTTTTAGTTTAATTAGGGATGATGATTTGCCCCGACCTAGTGAGGAACCCAGTTCACCCGACCTGAACGGGGACGGGGATTCTCAGTTAAAACGGGTTCTGGGGCCGGGGATCCCCGGTAGAATCAAACTAAAGGATACTATTTATGGGGTTTGACCGGGTACCAGATTTTGACTGGAGATTGCTAGAGATTTGACCGGGGACGAGATGATAATCTCCGTACCCGCTGGGACCAGGGCCGAGGCCGAGGATTACAAAACCCGCCCCATCCCCGCCCCGTTGCCATGCCTAAACTTAATATTAAACAAGTTGGTGACAAAAGATCACTTTTAAAACAAAATAAAAACTAAAATGACGATTTTTAGACTTATCAAAATTCAGATCCTACTTTCAAATATTTTATTAAACCTTATGGACTAAAGTTAAAGGTTACTCTATAATTATTTTTTCTAAATTAAACAAATTATATAACACTTAAGTATTTTATATTTAATTTGACACCCATACAAATATATATATATATATATATATATATATATGTAGAGACCTATTCAAGGGAGAACTGAGTTGTTTGTGGTAACTGTGAGAACCAATATTAACCACAAATCAATAGATAAATTAGGAAATTTATAAATTTGGTAATTTTAAATTAAAATCTTAATGCAAGGATATTTTTGGTATTTTAAAACTCTCATCTCTCCTCTCTTCTCTCTCCGGCCTCCGGCCACCGTTCTCCGGTGATACCACTATATATATGTATATGTATATATGTATATATGTATATATATATATGTATACTTCATTTTAAAATCACAAATATATTTATATGTGAGAGTGTATGCTCATACTAATACATTTACTAAACCTATTTAAATTTAAGTTTACAATTTATTATCATATATATACAACTTGTTAAAGCTTCATTTTTAGACTCTATAAAGTTAACTGATTATTAGCGATAAACATGTTCAAATACAAAATAAACAATAATTCATACAGATAAATCAATAAAGTGTATAAAACTGATAACTGATCGAAGACTCTCTCACTTTTTCATGATCATGCAAAACTATAAAATAAAATATATATATATATATATAGAGAGAGAGAAAGAGAATAGAAAAATATATCATGTTGCATTTAAGAGATATACTCTATTTCTTTAAAGACATAATATTTTTATTTTAAAGACTAATTTTCAAAAAATTATTTTGGAAAACAACTAAAGGGTCGTTTACTAAACACTACTCGAATAAGTGCTTACCAAGTCATGTTACCTCACTAGATGAATATGGTAAGGACCAAAAATCTTACCCGGTAAAAATGAGACAAAAACCATAAATCTTACCCGGTAAGTGAAGACGACGACTCTTATTATGGTAAGCGCTTACCGGGTAAATTGTTGCATAAGATGTCGTTTTGGTGGATTAAAATCTTATCCGATACGTAAATAATAATATTAAACTTTACCGGTAAACACTTATCGGATAAGTGTTTGGTAAACGACCTCTAAGTGGATGGTAATAACTTTTTTGTATTCCCTCAACCGGTCCCTGCTGGTCCCGGTTACGGGCCGGGCCGGTTTGGCCATCACTAGTAATCACTTATAAAAACCTTACTTTTATGTATTTTTTTTTCAAAATCAATAATTATTATATAAATATATTTAAAACTACCCAAAATTTTTTTTACATAAACTAATGATCGGAGTTTTTTCATTAGTTTATCACATTAAGTAGTTGTATAGGTTATGATGATGTATTCAACAGGTTTGAGAAAGTCCAAAGAGTTGTTTAACAGATTTTAAAATATCTAATAACTTATTTGTTTCAAAAAATTACTCAAGTACTTAAATATTCCAAACAGTAAAGTTTATTGGTTTTTTTTAACTTTTCACTTTATAAATTATACAAGCAAATAGCAATAGGAAAAGATTACTTTAAAAAGTGAAGGTTTAGAGTTAGTTTCGGCCAAAAAAACGATGGCAAAGTTATTTGAGTTGCTGACGAAGGCCCATCAGCCTTACAAAACGAGAAACCATGAAAGCCTTACAAAATGAGAAACCACCGATCATCATCATATACATCTCTCGTCAATGGAGTTAACCTCTTCTTCTTCCTCTTTGTCTTCCACCTACACCCGCAGTCATCCGCCTCTACACTTCCCAAAGAAGCTCTCCCTACAAAATCCGGCTACCTCCCGGTCAATGACACCACCGGCTCAGCCATTTTCTATGCCTTCTATGAAGCCCAAAATTCCAATCACACTTCTCTTTCTCAAACCCCACTTATCATATGGCTTCAAGGGGGACCTGGTTGCTCCTCCATGACCGGAAATTTCTACGAACTTGGTCCATGGCGACTAACACCTTCTCTGAGGAAAAACGTCAACCACCTTGAGCTCCAACCTAATCCTGGTTCTTGGAACCGAATATTTGGCCTTCTTTTTCTTGATAATCCGATTGGAACCGGATTTAGCATCGCTTCGACACCGGAAGAGATCCCAACAGACCAACAAGCTGTAGCAAGGCATCTATTCATTGCGATCAGAAAGTTTATTGCTTTAGACCCGCTGTTTAAATCTCGTCCAATTTACATTGCAGGTGAAAGTTATGCTGGAAAATACGTGCCATCAATTGGGTACTACATCCTTAAACGAAATCCCCTTTTACCCCATTCTGAAAGGGTCAATTTGTATGGATTAGCTATGGGAAATGGGTTGACCGATCCTGCAACCCAAGTGGGCACTCATGCTTTGCATTATTACAATCTTGGTTTGATCAATGAAAAACAGAAAATCCAAGTAGAGAAGCTTCAGTTTGAGGTTGTCAACTTGGCAGAAGCTGGTAATTGGAGTGGTGCTGCAGATGTAAGAAGTAACATGTTCCATTTTTTACAGAACGTCACAGGTCTAGCCTCTTTGTATGACTTCCGGAGGTATCGCCCTTATGATTCTGATTGGGTAGAAAAATTCTTGAAGAACCCAGAGGTTAAAAAGGCGTTGGGAGTGAACGAATCTATGGTTTTTGAGGAGTGTAGTGAGGTGGTTGGGGAAGCATTGTATGCAGATGTGATGAAGAGTGTGAGGCACATGGTGGAGTATCTTGTTAAAAACACCAAGTTATTGCTATATCAAGGGCAGTGTGATTTGATGGATGGGGTGGTGTCTGCTGAGTCTTGGGTGAAGAAGATGGACTGGGAGGGGATTCAGAAGTTTTTGGATGCAGAAAGAGATGTTTGGAATGTGAACGACGTGCTTGCAGGGTATGTGCAAAAATCAGATAATTTGAGCCATGTGGTGGTGATAGGGGCTGGGCATTTCGTGCCAACCGATCAAGCAGTGAATTCTCAAGCCATGATTGAGGATTGGGTTCTTGATAGAGGTTTGTTCGGTAATAAGAACACTCAAAATCAATCCATGGATCTTTAACATCATTGTTGTACTGGAATTGAAAGCCTTGGAATGACCGTCATGATGCAAATCTATGGACTTGAGTCTTGCACGCTGCTTGTCCGATGACCATCATATCCTACAATAGATGCCAATGTCAGCCTTCGAAGTAGAAGCTCAAGTTTGCGCTGATTTACACTTTGCTATGCCGAGTTAGGTCATGATACGATTGTTAGTACACATGTTCACATGATTTCGTGAGTTTTATTGGTGTTACAAGTCATTTAACTACATTGATTTGAACCTGGTATGGATATACATGGACTATCTATAGGAAACTATCAATTGAAGTGTTAGTCCCACATTATGTAATATTCAGGCTATGCATCACTATAAGAGTTCCAAAGGTGAATCCTATCATTGCTAATTGGTTGTAAATAGATACCTAAAACATTCTATGTATTAAAGCACCATGAATGCTTTTTAAGGTTGTAACGGAGAGTCTGACCCAAATGCTGACTAGAGGTAATGTTGGGTCATTGACCAGCATCTTCCTAAAACGAAGAATGAAACTTAACTCTTTTTATATTTTATTACAAAACACAATTGTTTCTGATTTCCTTAGGTACATCATTGAAAGCCCATAGCAAAACCATGTTACTTGTATACTCCTGGTATGAAAACAGTATCAAATCACCAGATGGAGCCAACCATGACCTGTTTATGAGCCTTAATTTGTATGAGCAGAATTGGCAATTTACATGGATGACATCCAAATGCTAGAGATCACTTGCATGAAGATGAAGGGAAAAAGAGGTGAACGGCTACCAAAAGTGGCGTAGCCACAAGGTGTCTGCCGAGAACCATGAGTTTGATTTCTGTTAAATATTGTATATCGTTAGTTACGATCTTATTTTTAGTAATCTAAAGTAGATTTCCCTATTATAAGTTATCGTTTAGTATATATTGTATTAAGACAACTTCCTCGTGGATCGGTAAAACTTAATATCAATGGTTCATTGCATTGGTTTAAAGCCTAATTAGTTGCAAAGTGCTATTCTGAGGCCTATGAGGTTGACTACGACGAGACATTCTCCGCGGTGGCCAATATGTCGTCAGTTAAATTATAGCTTTGGTTGCCATTAATCATTGGCTGCTTAATTAGTTGGATGTCAAGAACACCTTTATTAATGAATTTTTTGAGGATGAGGTGTACATGGAACAACCACATGGGTTTGTTATCGAGGAGGGGGCAACAAAGGTGTGCCAATTGCGACTTTCCTTGTGTGGTCTCAAACAGTCTCCTAGAACATGGTTCGCGAGTTTACATATGTTTTGCAGGAGTTTGGTATAACTCGCAGTTCTTAGGAATATTTTGTGTCCTTTAGACACCTTTTTTATTTATATTATCATTGCCGGATATGATGGCACCAGAATATCAAAGGCGAAACAATTTCTATAGACCTGATTTCAAGTTACTTAGCTTAGACAATTTTGTTACTTTATTTGGATAGAGGTATTACGGTCTCCAACGGATTCTTTTATCTTAGAAAAAATATGTTTTTGATGTGCTTAATGAGTGTGGTCGTTGGTCTGCAAATCAATGGACAACTCGATGCTCGCAACAGTTGAACTTAGATTATAGAAATCGTACGAGAGATCCAGAGAGCTACAACTATAGGAGACTGGTTGGAAAGTTAAAATATTTGATAGTTACTCAAACATAAATATCATTCCCGACTAGTGTCATGTGCCGGTTCATGTATGCTCCTTATACATGTTATTGGGATGCATTTCGCCTTTTGCGGTGTCTTAAGGCCACACCGAGCTTAGGGATACTCTATTCTGATTGGGGCCACTATCGAGCGGGTACATTCACTAAAGAAGGAGATTGCATGATATTTGGTTTCTCTGGTTGGGTTTCCCATTCCTATGAGATCAACTACAAGCAACTGTGTGTTTGTCAGACAAAACCAAGTTTCTTGGAAAAACAAGAAGTTAGCATACTATCTCCAAGTCAAGTGTTGAGTCAGAGTATAGAGCCATGACATATGTGTCACGCGAAATGACTTTGGTAAGGAGACATCTAAAAGAGCTTGGAGTAATTACATGCTACTTGATTAGACTATATTGTGGTAATCTGTCAGCTATGCGAAAAATCAAGTATTCCATGAGAGGATCAAACACATTGAAGTTGATTATCATCTAATCAGAGACAATGCTGTGAGAATTCAGACAGACCCTTGATTGATCCAACCGGTACAAGTTGAGACCGAGCACCAACTTGTTGACAATCTTAAAAAGCCATTACGAAAAGCCCAAATAATGGAGCTTATATGACTAAACTTAACACATGATTCCTTGGTTCCAAATTAGTGTAGTGAATGGGCATTTGAGTTGTTTTAATTTCTGGTAGAATGCATAAAGTTCTTGTCTTTTTCTAATCAAACAACTTTTATCATGCAGTGCTTAATAAGTATTTATTTTTCAAGCTGTACGAGGATATTGGCATAGAAAAATGAGGTACATTTAATGTAATCTGTGGTATAAATCTATTGAATTCTTGCAGGTTTAATGATCTTGTGTTGTGCAATATACATCTCAAAATATATCTATTCATAACAGAGAATCGATTTCATCAAGTAGATGGTTATGGCAGATGAAGCAGGTTTGGAAAATTTCAAACCATCTCTCATACTTTGGAGAATCTGTTGGAGATGCTCTAAAGATTATGGAGTTGTTGTTTCAATCTCTTCGGATGGTATTCGCGCCAAATGAACATTGTTTTATTTTGCCCCTTTTTTAAACTCAAACATTTAACGTTTGATAAGAGTTGAAACTAAACAAACAAACAAATTATTTATTAAAATCATCTTATTTTCTTTAATTTGGTATTTATATTGTTATTTTTTTTCAAATATTTCAATTAAGAATCTAAAATGTTCGCTAATAGATTCACATGCGAATATGAGTGTTTACATGTGAAAAAATAATATAAACATATGACATTTATATATGTGAATACGATTATTTACACATGTAATAATAATCTAAACATGTCATATTTATATGAATAATATAACTATGTTTGTTTCTAAAAAAATTAGTTATGTATTCACATGTATTGACGTCTAGATCCCTAGCCTGACATCTTGCAACGCCCCACGAATCTCCATTGCTCATGAACCCTAGCATGGTTCTTGCATCATCTTGTTGAATTTGCATCATCTTTGGATTTTTATTTTGATTTAGATTGTGATTCTTGTTATTACAATATTATATCACACATGAATGTGGTATAAAAAAATATTAAACGACTCATTATGGATAAACTGGTCATTTAATCAGTCATGTCATGTCCTGACTGTCACATCCAGTCGTATCAAACGTTAGACAATTGTTCTATCATGTTTTGTCTTATCTTGTCTTGTTTGTGCACCAAACATACTCTTAAACTTTAACGCAAATGCATACTTTTCCTTTTACACAAATTCCTATTTTTTTTTCTTTTCTTTTTGTTAGAAAATAAATTTATGTAAACAAATTATTATTTTAGAAATTGTTTTGAAAATATGACAAAAAGAAATGGAGAAAGGAAGATAGAGTAATTTAGTAATTTCCATTTATTATTTTAGAGCCATCTGCACAACCATGAGCCATACAAAACGACATACTGATGATATCGAATTCATTCATACATCTGCCGTCAATGGCGTCAACCCCCCTCCTCCACTTCCTCTTCCTCACGCTCCTCTTCCACCAACACACGCATTCATCGGCCTCTACACTCCCCAAAGAAGCTCTACCTACAAAATCCGGCTACCTCCCAGTCAATTCCACCACCGGCTCAGCCATTTTCTATGCATTCTATGAAGCCCAATATCCCAATCACACTTCTCTTTCTCAAACCCCACTTATCATATGGCTTCAAGGGGGACCTGGTTGCTCCTCCATGATCGGAAATTTCTACGAACTTGGTCCATGGAGAGTAACACCTGTGAAGCAAAACGTCAAACACCTTGAGCTCCAACCAAATCCTGGTTCTTGGAACCGAATATTCGGTCTTCTTTTTCTTGATAATCCGATTGGAACCGGCTTTAGTATCGCYTCGACRCCAGAAGAGATCCCAACAGACCAACAAGCTGTRGCAAGGCATCTGTTCATCGCGATCAGAAAGTTTATTGCTTTAGACCCGTTGTTTAAGTCTCGTCCAATTTACATTACAGGAGAGAGTTATGCTGGAAAATACGTGCCGTCAATTGGGTATTATATTCTTAAAAGAAATCCCCTTTTACCCCTTTCGAAACGTGTCAATTTACATGGAYTGGCTATCGGAAATGGGTTGACCGATCCGGAAACCCAAGTGGGSACTYATGCTTTGCATAATTACTATCTTGGTTTAATCAATGAAAAACAGAAAACCCAATTGGAGAAGCTTCAATTTGAGGCTATCCACTTAACAGAATCTGGTAACTGGAGTGTTGCTAGAGATGCAAGAATCAATGCTTTGATTTTTCTACAAAACATCACAGGTCTAGCTACTCTATATGACTTCAGGAGGCATCGTCCTTATGATTCTTACTGGGTAGAAGAGTTCTTGAAGAACCCAGAGGTTAAAAAGGTATTGGGAGTGAATGAGTCAATGGTTTTTGAGGAGTGTAGTGATGTGGTTAGTGCAGCACTGCATTCAGATGTGATGAAGAGTGTGAGGTTCAAGGTGGAGTATCTTGTGAAGAACATTAAGCTATTGCTGTATCAAGGGCAATGTGATCTGAGAGATGGGGTGGTGTCTACTGAATCTTGGATGAAAAAGATGAAATGGGAGGGACTTGAGAAGTTTTTGGATGCAGAAARAGAAGTKTGGAAGGTGAAAGGTGTGGTTGCAGGTTATGTTCAGAAATCAGATAATTTGAGGCATGTGGTGGTGTTAGGGGCTGGTCATTTTGTGCCAACTGATCAAGCTGTGAATTCTCAAGCCATGATTGAAGATTGGGTTCTTGATAGAGATTTGTCCATCAATAATCATATCTAAAACTGTT